GTGAAGCAAAGTCAGCCCTGAAGTTTGCAGGCGCCTTTCTCCACTCAGGGCAAAGTCGTCTTGAGCCACATCAAGTGGCAGTAGTCTCTCTCAGGGGAAAGTAGGGACGTGTTATTTTCGCAACCCACCCATACATACCCTACATACATACATACGTACATACATACATACATACATACATACATACATACATACATACATACATACATACACACACACACATATATATATATATAAATACACACGCAAATAATCAGGTAAATGTAATACTCAATACGCACACATACATACACATACATACATACATACATATATATATATATATACATACATGATGCCGGGCTCCCCCCCTGGTCAGGTGGGCCTGTGGGGGTACCCTTCCCCCCCACATCCCCGCCCCACCCGTGTTGTTTCTGTGGGCTGCTGAGGCTTTGGTTGGCCTGAATTGGAGTACGCAACACATGTAACACAAGGACCTTTTGTCACGATTAATTAATGGCTCAACACTGTTACACGGAACTTTAAGAGCGCTTGTTCTGATCTTCTCCACCACCACTCATGTCTACAATTACATCTACTATGGTCGTGCGGCCCGCATCCGCCGTTCTGGAAGTTCTCATGTGTTATTCTTTATCTTCCTGCTCGCTGCGGCGCCGGTGATACTGCTCATGATGTTGTGCTGCTCTAGACGGCGACGCGAATCGACACTCGGATCATTTTCGACATCATGCTAAACATCGTCATTGTTGTCGTCATGTTCATCACCGGTACCATCAATAGACTAGCTGCCACCATCACCATCGCCATATAACCCTCATAGTTAAGCATTGTAATTCATGTCTGATGCGGAAAACTACCGCGCAGATTGCCGCTTTCCGTCCGCACGGGGCAGGGTGGGTGGGTGGGGGGATACCATGGCGGGACGGGGGTAGGGGCCCGGGGTCTCAGAATGTATATGTATGTATATATATATATATTTATAGACATAGATAGATAGATAAATAGATAGATAGATGGATGGATAGATAGAGATTTAGGTGGATAGGTACATAGATAGATAGATACATACACCCACACATGCAGTATCCACCCAGCCACCCATCCACCCATCCACCCATGCATGCATGCATGCATGCATGCATGCATGCATATATATATATATATGCCACCCCCCCTGCAGTTATCAACCTTTGCATGGCTTTTCAAGGCACGCGCGGGAGCATTTTTTCCACAGGGTCATAACAGACTCAGTGTTTAATGCGAACCCGTGTTTATCGGCTCTGGCATTGTGCTGTGAGGATTGTCTTCATCTAGGCCAGGAGTAAGTTTGTCAACATCATGAAAAGAAGCTGCTTCTTCGGCTAGTAGCAGCCTAGCTGGAGGATCGCTATTTCCACTAAGCAAGAGGGGTTAGAGTTGAGGGCGACATGTAACCTAAATTGTCAGGTTACAACCCGGCTTCCGGCTAATGCATTGGGGTTA